TTCTAACCTCGTCCAAGTCCATTCTACTGAAGTATGGTCTCATTCCCTCCAGTCTGCCCTTTTTCTGTTGTAGGTTCACCTTCCTTTTCTCTTTTAAACACCACCCTCCTTCTCAGCCTTTGACAGCTTTCCATTCCTTATTACTAAACTCCACAATGTGTTCTGTGGCGCCTTCACAATCAGGCCACATCTGCCTTTCCCTCTGCACATCCATCATTCCTGAATTATCACTCCTGATAATTCACATAGGATCTTTTCTATTTCCCCAAGTGTCAGCTGGTCTGGGAAATAAAGGGAAAGAGTACAAAAGAGAGAAATTTTAAAGCTGGGTGTCCGGGGAAGACATCATATGTTGGCAGGTTCTGTGATGCCCGCCAAATTGCAAAACCAGCAAGTTTTTATTAGTGATTTTCAAAAAGGGAGGGAGTGTACAAATAGGGTGTGGGTCACAGAGATCACATGCTTCACAAGGTAGTAAAATATCACAAGGCAAATGGAGGCAGGGCAAGATCACAGGACTGAGACGAAATTAAAATTGCTAATGAAGTTTTGGGCATGCATTATCATTGATAACATCTTATCAGGAGACAGGGTTTGAGAGCAGACAACCGGTCTGACCAAAATTTATTAGGTGAGAATTTCCTCATCCTAATAGGCCTGGGAGCGCTACAAGAGTTGGGGGCTTATTGCATCCCTTATCTGCAACCATAAAAGGCAGATGTTCCCGAAGCAGCCATTTCAGAGGCATCCCCTTAGGAACGCATTCTCTTTCTCAGGGATGTTCCTTGCTGAGAAAAAGAACTCAGTGATATTTCTCCTATTGGCTTTTGAAAGAAGAGAAATATGGCTCTGTTCTGCCCAGCCCACAGGCAGTCAGACTTTAAGGTTATTGCCCTTGTTCCCTGAAAATCGCTGTTACCCTGTTCTTAAGGTGCCCAGATTTCCTATTGTTCAAATGCACATGCTCTACAAACAATTTGTACAGTTAACACAATCATCACAGGATCCTGAGGCGACATTCATCCTTAGCTTATGAAGATGATGGGATTAAGAGATTAAAGACAGGCATAGGAAATCACAATAGTATTGATTGGGGAAGTGATGTATCCATGAAATCTTAACAATTTATGTTCAGAGATTGCAGTAAAGACAAGCACAAGAAATTATAAAAGTATTAATTTGGGGAACTAATAAATGTCCATGAAATCTTCACAATTTATGTTCTTTTCCCATGGCTTCAGCCGGTCCCTCTGTTCGAGGTCCCTGACTTCCCACAACATCCAGCCATACCAGTCCATGCATCCTTCACTAATGTGTCTTTCAGCTGGGCTTCAGGCAGAAAACTGAAACCATTTCTAGGTATTTCAACAGAGAGAATTTATTAAAACAAATGGTTTAAAAAGCATTTGAAATTTTAAAATGAGAACAGAATACTGAAGTAATTCCTGTGTTAAGTAAGCAGGAACTATCTATCACTCTGGGACTGAGGGATTATAGGAAAGAGGATGGAGCTATCAGAAAGTAAAAGTTTAGATAAAAGGGACCCCCACAGAGCTGAAACCTGCACCTTTAAGATGGGATAATGGCTGGCTGCTGCAGCTGCCTCTGAAATGCTGAATAGAACCTCCTTGGAGCTGAGGCTTAAACCTCTAGGGAAGGGATGCTTCCAGGCTGGTGTAGGAACCTCTAAGGGTGAGATGAAGCTGGTTATGAATAAAGCTTAACACTGGAACCACATGTTGCTGTTGGTGTGAAGGGCCATTGATGGGCAATACTGTTAGAAGCACCATCAAACAGCATCAAGGAAACAGGATCTTCCATGCCTCCTACCTTCTCTGCTCCCTCTAGTGCCCTCTGTTGGTGGGATCCAGCAGACAACTTGCAGAGTTCAACATCAGAAGGGTGGATTTAGTGTTGAGAGACAATTGCTTAATAACCAATATGATACACTTTCACGTCTCCTTGCATTTACTCATGCAGTTTCCCTACTTATAATGGCCTTTCTACCAGTATCTGCCTGATGAATGCCTTTGTTCAAATACAATCTCTTTTTTATAATCTCCCTTAATCTTCCCAAAAGTAATTATTTATATCATGTGAGTTTCCCTAGTAATTTGTAAAGACATTTTTGTAGATTTTTTTTATATCGTATCATAATGTGTGTTTGTGTGTTTGTTTATTTTCCATTTATTTTCTGCCAAACCATGTACTCCTTTAGGGCAGTTAGTTAACCATAAAATATAGCAGGGTGCCTGGCATACAAAAGATATTGATTAAGCTGGATGGAATTGATAAGGGCATTTTAATGAAATTAATCTTAGATCATTTCTTGTAGATATTTTATCATCCAAGCCAGATTTAAACTCCGTAAGAGCAGAAATCATGCTTTATATTTCTTTCATTTTCTCTGTGGGGTCTAGTACAAGGTTGAGCATATTGAAAAAGAGCTTAGTGATATTTGTTAACCACCTAGTTGTTTATTAACTACCACAATTTTGGTTCAAAATGACATGAAGATGGAGCATGAATTATCAGGTAAGATCCTTAATTAGGTTTAGATGTGCTTCTAGCATGTGATTTCAACAGTTAGAGAGCACTGTATGTATGGTAAAGTTCTGTGTTTGTTGGAGGACTAGCACAATCAAGAGACCAAATGTAATATGTTTTATAGTGAATTATAAATAATGAAATATATTATAGGTTTTATTTTTCTCTATTTATCTCCTACAGAAAATATATCCTGCCAATTCATGAGATTACTAATTCTGGGCTATATTTGTTCCTAGTGTATTTATTAAATTTCTCACAACTATCAAAATCAACTGGTAATTATTTAAATGTAGGAAAAATATTGAATTTTAACTTAATCACCAGCTTCTTGAAAAAAGAAACCTCTGTTCAACAGCTGATTTATATTCACATCCAAGAAGAAGAAAAATAGCTTTTTTTTTTTCTAAAGGGGAGTGATATGTAATTAACTATTGATTTCTTCTCAATTATTCAAGGCAAGCAATTATCGATATTGATGGAACAGATATTTCCCTACCTCTAGTGCCCAAATGAAAGGAAATATCCCATTCAGCATTCTGCTGCCTGGAACAAGAAATGCTGAGGATCTTTAACTTTAGATGAAAACAGTTATCTGGATCTGTTTATTCCATGTTGCCCCAATTAAACATATTTCTTCAAGTGTAAGCAAAATAAAATCCTGAAAACCTACATATGCTTTCCAAATTAACTAAAGCCAAACACAAGGGCTTTTGTCAGTTTTGACCATGAGGCTAACCACTCTACACTTGTGGACTTTGCTTCACAGCTATAGATCTTGACATTTTTAACTATGACTCATAAAATAATGTGGTTCTACTATTATGACTTCTAAGCCACTCAATAAGAGGTAGCTTATATAATCATTAGAAACCATGGAACACTGCGTTGCATATCAGTATTTGGAGCCTGAAGGATTTAGTAGGCCTTAATAGTCACTTCTGACATTTACAGATAGCAAGCGTGGATACATTTGAAAATTATTCCAATACACTATGCAACTGTGTTAGAGGTCACCAAGCAAATGTTGAGGAAAGCAGTAAAACAGTGGACTATTTAGGGCACTCTGTTATTCACCATGTGAGTATCCACCACCATCTTTCCTAAGCTCATTCGCACACAAAGCACTGGCATGTTTGTGTGTAAGAAGCTTCTTTTGAAGCTGACATGACTGTTGAACATAATTAATGGACAAGGCAACATTCTCTATTGAGTTACTCCTTGGAGGGTAGAGTTGTTTTAATACTTTGCACTTAATACTAATATTAGGTATATGTATATGAGTGTGTAGTATGTTGTTGAACTCATGTGGCATCCCTGGGGAAATTTCACCATGACATTTTTTTAAAATGGAAAATGTTACAATTTATAAAAAGTTACTTTTTCTGCTCTGTCCCCCACCTCTCATTCCAGAGGGGTGCTTAAGCAGCATATGTTGCTTGGGAAATATTCTTGGCTCTTTTACTCTTTGTTGTTGTTTTAATTTCCCTGGGTTCTATTTAACATTCTGCTAAATCAGTGAAACAGTGATTGTCTAAAAGAATAGAAGACATGGAATTAATGAGGTTAGTCAGAATTTTGAAGAAATAAGAAATTATTAGAGGTGAAAGTTACATAACAGGGTCTGTGAATGAATTCTAGTCTCTGAAGTTGCTTGTCTTGATTTATTCAAACTGATTCTGTTAATTGATGGACATAATGAATTTTGGTAATCAGGGTTTCGCCACTGCATTTATTACTATTCCCAGAAATCAAGGTAACCTTGGGCTATACTTCCCATATTTACAAGGTGATAAAAATCCTTAATAGGCTGTCAGGGACAAATGTGACTGCTTTTCCTCACACTCCTCCCATGAAACAAGCTTTCTCTCTTCCCATCTGGCTGCTGCCTGCCTGGTGCATGCTACTTTCCCCGTGTCCCCACCCCCCCATCCCCATGCCTCCCCGTGGGTTCTGTCTTCATGCATGCAGCGCTGGAATCACGCACCGAGAGAATGGCCCACCCCTTAGAGGATTTTGGTCATTTTAAGAATACTGCTTTGCATTTTAAATACCATTCATCTGGTTTCAAAGATCTGCACTCTGGCATCGGGCACTTGTCCTTTAAAAACCCAAGAGGTCACAACAGGTCCCAGTTCCATGAAGAAAAGATACTGCCAAACCAGGACTATTGCATTATTTTGTATTCTATAGCCTCAAACGGACAATGATAACATCCAAGATTGCAGCAAAAATATTATATGAAAAAGACTAATATGATAAAAACAAAGGCAGAAAACTACATTTGTTTGGAAATTGGAGTCACAGGCTTCGTTTGTGGAGGGGAGGGGGGAGCACAAAGATCGATAGAGATTTTTTTTTAGGCTGAAAACATGATGTACCAGATGAACTTAAATTGATTCTGCTTCTCCTCCCCGCGCCCACCCACCCCTACCTTCCCCCTCATTCTGCAGCGAATGTCTGCGACAACGAGCTCCTGCACTGCCAGAACGGAGGGACGTGCCACAACAACGTGCGCTGCCTGTGCCCGGCCGCATACACGGGCATCCTCTGCGAGAAGCTGCGGTGCGAGGAGGCTGGCAGCTGCGGCTCCGACTCTGGCCAGGGTGCGCCCCCGCACGGCTCCCCAGCGCTGCTGCTGCTGACCACGCTGCTGGGAACCGCCAGCCCCCTGGTGTTCTAGTTGTCACCTCCAGCCACACCGGACGGGCCTGTGCCGTGGGAAAGCAGACACAACCCAAACATTTGCTACTAACATAGGAAACACACACATACAGGCACCCCCACTCAGACAGTGTACAAACTAAGAAGGCCTAACTGAACTAAGCCATATTTATCACCCGTGGACAGCACATCCGAGTCAAGACTGTTAATTTCTGACTCCAGAGGAGTTGGCAGCTGTTGATATTATCACTGCAAATCACATTGCCAGCTGTAGAGCATATTGTGGATTGCTAAGGCTGCGACAACCCCCAAACAGGAAAGACAAAAAACAAACAAATCAACCGACCTAAAAACATTGGCTACTCTAGCGTGGTGCGCCCTAGTACGACTCCGCCCAGTGTGTGGACCAACCAAATAGCATTCTTTGCTGTCAGGTGCATTGTGGGCATAAGGAAATCTGTTACAAGCTGCCATATTGGCCTGCTTCCGTCCCTGAATCCCTTCCAACCTGTGCTTTAGTGAACGTTGCTCTGTAACCCTTGTTGGTTGAAAGATTTCTTTGTCCGATGTTAGTGATGCACATGTGTAACAGCCCCCTCCAAAAGCGCAAGCCAGTCATACCCCTGTATATCTTAGCAGCACTGAGTCCAGTGCGAGCACACATCCACTATACAAGAGTGGCTATAGGAAAAAAGAAAGTGTATCTATCCTTTTGTATTCAAATGAAGTTATTTTTCTTGAAATACTGTAATATGTAGATTTTTTGTATTATTGCCAATTTGTGTTACCAGACAATCTGTTAATGTATCTAATTCAAATCAGCAAAGACTGACATTTTATTTTGTCCTCTTTCGTTCTGTTTTGTTTCATTGTGCAGAGATTTCTCTGTAAGGGCAACGAACGTGCTGGCATCAAAGAATATCAGTTTACATATATAACAAGTGTAATAAGATTCCACCAAAGGACATTCTAAATGTTTTCTTGTTGCTTTAACACTGGAAGATTTAAAGAATAAAAATTCCTGCATAAACGATTTCAGGAATTTGTATTGCAATTTCTTAAGATGAAAGAAGCAGCCACCAAGCAGTTTCACACTCAGTTTACTGATTTCTGTGTGGACTGAATACATTCAGCTGACGAATTTAGTACCCAGGAAGATGGATTGATGTTCACTAGCTTGGACAACTTCTGCAAAATATGAGACTATTTCCACTTGGGAAAAATTACAACAGGAAAAAAAAAATCTAAGTGATTGCCAAGATTATGCCAAAGCCTGTTGGCAGAGTACTAAGAGACTTTTATTTTTAAGTCATGCTATTTTCACAGATTGATGGTGATCATGTGACTCTAGGGATGCTGATCTATGTATCTTTCCAAATACAGTGTTTACATGGAGTATCATAAGAGGCAACCTGGGGAACCAGGAAGGGAGCAGGGAAATTGAATGATTTGCAATTTGACTTTGAATATATTCAGACTTAAGTATTTAGAGGAAATATCAAAATATAAAGCAGCAAGTAGACATAACTGCTGTTCCTGAGAATAAAGTTTGTTTTAAGTACTGCCCAAGGTGTAATAAATTCTTGTTTCTGCCTTTTATTAGGCCAATTACTGTGCAAGACAGCAAGGGGAGGCAGGTGGGGAAGAACCTTTGCAAAGTTTCAAAGAGGCTAAAACAGTGTGCATTTTGTTCCCAGCACACTGTTGTCCTACAGGTTACAAATGTGTTAGCAGCAGCATCTCCTGGAATCAAAAACAATTATCAGCCCGAACCAGAATCTTAAGGACAATGAAATTCTGCATGACTTGGTAGAACAATAACCTATGATAATGTCAGGTCAGAAGCCTAGTTCCAGTCTGAAATTCTTCACCCTGCTGCCACTCCTTGCTGAAACAGGGAAGGGGGGAGGAATGTCTCCTGATAAATAACCTGGGTAAAAACTAGATGAAGGAACAGCATGTCTTATTGGTTTTGTTCCCAGAAAAGCCAATTCAAAGAAGGCAATAAAAGGTAAACAGGTAATGCCTGTGCCGCCTGCCACCCCACGTCTAAGTCTATTGAATGTTTGTTATTCAAACCAACAGTCTCTTTTGATGTAAGAAAAAAGGAAAGATGGAAATAAATTAGAGCTTAGGCTTAGTGCCAGAGTGGCCAACTAGAAATTGGAGATTTACATTGGAAGCATAAATAGAAAATTACATTTCAGGCTCACCAAAGAAACAGGAAAATGCTGATAACATAGGGAGTTTGAGATTATTTATAATGAGGTGGATTTATGATATTAAAATTGGAGTTTAAGTTGTCTTATACTTTATTAACACAAACCAAAGGCAGCCCGTGTTATTTCTGGCAACGATGCACTTTACCGTTATCTGCTCATGGCTTTGTCGCAATGCTCAGGAATCAGACACTGCACACCTCAATAGTTGGGATTCCAAAAGCTAATTCTAAAATTTAATGAAGGCCTGCTTTAAACTGATTCATCTGCATTTTATCTTTATGAGGCTATAAGAATCTAAATTGATGAGGAATATCTTTCCTTCAGTGTATTTAGATATAGTTTTCTGAATTTCCTGAAGCGATGTGATCTGCTTTTAATAAAAATTCACTTTTAGGTATACAGCAAATGGAAATGAAATGTTCTTTTTAAATCTGGATTCTCAAGTTCTTCTAAAGGAGCTACTCCTTTGAAGATACCTCAACTCAGTGGACTTGATTCATCTGTTACTTGCCAGCATTCTTACAAAGCTGGTTCCATCTACAATGTTACGCCCTAAGAACAGGATTGGGGTGAAAAGCGGGTACTCAGTTGTTCATACATTTGAGGTCCTAATTCTTGTTATTTTTTCCCTTTGATAGATCCCTTAAAGTCGGTTAATATAGTCTTGCATATGAGTTAATCTGTCAACTTTCCCACATGGAACTGATATAATTCCTTCTGTCAATACTATTGATGGGCATAACATTTCAAAAAAAAATGGGACAAAGGTTCAGCTATCCAGAAAGATTTGCTATTTATAGGAAGATAATGGACATGCCCTGCTGTGATGTAAGAGTTATTTATTTCTGACCCTGTACACAGCCTAGAGGAAAAATTTAGTCCAGCAAAGAGGGGACCTTCCTTAGAGAGACCCATTCTGTCTCTCCTCTAGCTTTCTCCCAGATATCAGGAACCTAGAGTTTCCTACTCAGATAACCCCACACACACACTTTTAAGCCAAATGTGGCCCCCCTCTGGGGGTTTAAACTCCTGAAGGCAGGCACCATCTTGAGTGCATATACCTGGGCACAGGGAGCGGCAAAGGGTGCATCTGTGTGGGTGGATTAGGGCCTGGGGCCTGGAGTGTTCACTGTGGAATTTACACACAAACAAGGAGAAACAACTTACAGTGAAAACAAGAGTCCAGGGCTGAAAAATAAGGGGATGAGGGTAGGAAGGAGATAGACAAGGGCTACCATGAGGCTGGGGGCCAGTACAGAACACTGAACAGTCTAAGAATTCTAAATCTATACCTGGGCTTCCAAGGGTTAAGAAAGCATCATGTGTCAAAGTGGCAGGACGGAAGATAATTTAAGAATTTGTTAGCTTTATGCATGACTTTTAAATACTTAGACATGTGGCGTGGGGTCCTCCATTGGTACTTTTGCACAAGGTCCTGCAACATTTGGGGTCGATCTGCCTGAGGTGCCCTTGAGTCAGATCCCTAAGTTGGCACAAACTGCTCACCAGGTAACACAAAGAAAGGTCCAGGTTGGAAGAAGGCATCTGCTCCACAGTTCAGCTGACCCTGTAGTTAATGCTCTCCTCACCTTCTCTTGGACCTGTGGTCTGACTGGAGTATAAGAAATTTTGGATGCATTGGGGGACAACTGTGAGGAAATCTTGACATCGAATGTTTTGTTCCATCTCCTTTATGCTCTACCATCAATAATCCAATATGACTGGGATGTAAAGACCCAGCATTCTGAAATGGAATGCTCTGTACTATATGGGAAATGGGTTGTTGTACTTTACCGGTTGTTAAACACTAAATAAAATACCTATTTAACAGACTCTCCACTCACAGGATTGACCAAGATATGTGGGAACTACATTTTCTATATATTTGTTATGTGAAAACTCTGTAGGTATTTTTAATCTGGTACAACTCGGAGCTCAGCTTCCCAAATCTGAACTAGAATTCCTTACCTACTTTTCCTACTCCCAGCCTTAATTGAGAAGGATGGCAAGGTGGCATGGCTAAGCTGTATCGGAGAACAATATGAGCCACCAGGTAAAACTTCAGGTTTTGGTTTTTGTTTTTTGTTTTTAAAGGAAGTCCAATTGGAAAGTTTTAATAATATAGAGGAATGAAAATACAGGTAAGGGACACTCTCATGGTTTTGATTTAAGTAGCTGGCCATGCACAAGTCTTTCTTTGCCTCAGGAAAGAAGGATTACATTCTAATCAATTTTATTTCTATGAAACATAAAATGTTCATCTGACATAAATATTCTGTCAGTTCTGACCGTTTCCATATAGAATGATTTTATACTTTATGTTTTTACTTTCTTTAACTAAAAGTAGCTTTCTCCTTTAGTTACCTAACACAGATGCCAACAAATTCCCAGAATAAACTGCACATAAACATAATATGATGTCAGAAAAAATTAAGAATGCCAGCTATTATGTTTTGAATTTTCACCAGTAATCTTGGGAACATAGTGAACTTTTACTCTTCTCAACACCTGGTGAGGTGTGACTCACATATTATTATCTTCATTTTGCATCTGAAAAATCAACTAACTAAGAAACAGACATATCGCTTGTATAAAACATATTATTGCATTGAACTAGAAATGAGAAAATAACATCTGTGAAAAACTCATAATGATAATGAATAAAATGCAGTTACTTGAGATCTACTATGACAGAAAAGTTCTGTCCCTAATACATTTTCAGAGTAGGTTTTGAAACAAGTCTAGCAAGAAGGCCTAAATGATGTTAGGGGGTGTTGTTTAGAGTTACATAATTGAGCATTTATTAAGTGCCGGAATCCCCCTCTGCCTCCTCTCATCACCCAAAAGCTGTTTTTCATTGAAGGATGAATTAAAATGGAGTAGTAACATTTAAAATTATGTGATGTTTTTATTAACCTAAAATGATAGGTGGTAAAATGGGCCATTATTCTGCAAAATCTAATTATGTTAACACTAAAGATTTAGCTTGCCTGGCTGAAGCAAACTGCAGAGGATTGAAAGTAAAAATAATCCTCATTTTCTTAACTTAGTCCCATTTTTTCATAGACATTACTTTTAAGTATTATTAAATTAGTGAACTGTGAATTCTATGGGGAAAAATGACTGGAAAGAGAAAAAATAATTACTACCCCTCCTACATCTATCTGAATAGATTCTGAAACCCCTGCATGGCAAGAATGTGTCAAGTTCCCTTGAGGACATAATGTACCACAGCTGTATCCTCCAGCCGCCCTGATAGTACCACATTACAGCTTTGCTCTTACAAGGGGCAGTCATTCTAATCTAATAAAAGACAGAAAATGGCAGAAAATCACACACCTGAAGTCCTGTTAAGAATAGGTGATTCTTTTTGCCCCAGGCAGGCAAGAACATAATGTCATTTTTGTTCATTTGTATTTGCACTCTGAAGGAGGGCTGCTCCTGTTGGGGAATGGTTTTCCCTCTGCCAGTGTGAAACACCGCAGGAAAGCATTCTCCAAGGAAATCGCATTTTGCTATTTACCAGTCATGACTATCCCATGAAGCCCTGAGTAATTGTTTTGGCTTTCATGGTGTGATAAACACCTAGAGGCAAAGAGATTAGTGTCATTACTCTCCGTCTCTTTTTCTCTCCCTTTGGAAAAAAAAAAAGATGGGGGGGTGTCCAAATATAGTATGACAATGTTTTCAAGAATCTTTCAGTCAGTTGATGCTTAATTATAAAGACCCCAGCTAAATATTCCATTTATTAAATTAATAGCGTGACAAGTATTGGAGAGCTTTACAACCACTTAAACTCATGTTTACATCCTGTGTAATTACAATTCATAATTGGGAAAGCAATCAAATATAAATGCATTCTGATCAATGGTTCTCAGGCTGCCAAGTAGACCCCACACAACACATTAGAGTAAGTGACTTCAAAACAGGACTTCTACACCTAGAATTCAAACTAGGTTAGGGGAGGGCACTGTGGGGAGTCTATCAGTGAAATGTTTAAAATTATGTGTAAGATTTCCCATATATATGACACTGTTTTTCTGAATAAAGAAAGAAATTATTTTTTTTTAATTTATAAAAGGCCTAAAAGTATAAGAATGACTGCTCGAGATCCTAAGATTACGATTTACCCCAACTGTGGAAAGTCGCATTACATTTTAAATTGTTGTCAGGGGATGAATGATAATGACTCAGGTATATGAAAGCACATGTTTTTCCTACAATCAGTTATTAATTTATTTCATACTAATCTCTACCTGAGCTGCTAAGGGCATCTGTAGTCCCTCTTGTGTGTGTGAGTGTCTCTATATATTACCTTCTGAAAAAGTCTGATATAGTGTGAGCTCTGATTCTGTTTTCAGGGTGGTGAGAAGCA